CACTTTGATAGATATTATCTGTTTCGAGGGGATCAGTAGGAAGCCCTGGACCTAGGTTCCGTGCTTGTTAACACTGGTCAGCAGGGCGTATCTGCATCCTCGACAGAACTAATGTCCTTCCTAAGATTCAAACCCACGTCACCCAGTGATGCAATCAGCGACTTACCACTGAGCTGTTTGCTTCTTAAGTTTGCCAGCGAGTTGTTAACGTTACTCAATAAACACTTGATCAAATAGCCAGAGCTGAACATTTGAAGGCAGTTCTTATGAGTTGTTTATGACGATGATGAGGATAAAAGCTGGACATTTTGTTATTCTCTAATAAAGTCAACGTGCAGATGGATTATTTGCCGGATGCATGTCAATAAAGATTACAGTGTCAGTCTGTTTCATCCCATGATTAGTTCATTACAGCCAACTAACAGTAATTCATCATGATTAAGACTTGCTGGGAAATATGGAAGGTCTATTTTTCTGTATTTCTAACTGATTAGTTAGGTATATTTTTGCATGTAAGTGCGTATTTACACCTATACAACGCATTGGATTTGAAGTAGGCTGTTTATAATGTGACACACACACATATCCTTATCTTGGGACTGAATAAACAGTGCTACTAAGTGAATAGTTCAGTCGTGAACATGATTAATGAAGACTGTGATGTTAATTTTAGTGAACATCAGTTTTTAATAAATGTACTCCCGTTATTCGTAACCTCAATTTCATGGAATCAGGGATACAAAGAACGCGTTTATTTTTGTCTTCAGTCATATTTAAATTGTTCTACTTGTCTACAGATAAGCAATACTCTTTCGTGAATACAGAAATAATAGCAAAGACCACACCTAATTGTGTGGTTATTTGTATAAGCCTAGTTGTATACTTTCCTTCTGACCAATATTTATTCACAGAATGCCGTGAGACATTTCAGTCCCTTAATTAGTCCACTGTTATTATTTTTATCATCACTTCTTTACTGTCTGTTTTATCACGTAAAAACAAAAAAACGTACCTGAAAGCAAACTACGAAGCATCATGTTAGTTCAACACAGCATATGAAAGAGGATTACTGTTTCTCAAGAATGTATTTCTGCCTTTTTCTTATTCCTTTGTACTAAGTTAATGAAATGGGATACATTAGTCTGGATATCAGTATAATAGCTGTCTAAGAAACTCGAAATACAACTTAGCAGCTACCAACAAATACATAAACTGTTCAGTTTACATTTGTTGTACCCGAGCTAGTAATCAAGAAGCATTGATGAAAGAGCCGCATTTACAAATGTTCTGCAGATAGTGAGTTTTGAAAATCATTTAACAGGTTACAAGAATCCATGAAACATACAGACATAGTGTCACACAGCTTTCATGCTATCTCCATGTTAATGATAATCTAGGTATTTTAATCAAGTCTAATTTCAGGGTTTCGTTAGGTTAGCCAAAATTGCGTTACAGTTGGTTGAACAGAGTATCCACACAACTGCATAACAATCAAGTCTCAATAGAAAATCATGACAAAACTAATAAATTAATAAATGATGCACTACTGACAGTTAATTAAACAAGGATGCAAAAGTAAATCGGACTTTTCTAATCTGTATGTGGATTATCAAAATAAATAAAAAAATAACACAATGGTGTCTAGAAATGTAGTTTGTATACAGCCTTGATGATAAATGTTGATAACGTTGTTCCACTGGATATTATTAAAGCAGGTAACTTTAAAGTGCCAGTAATGAAAACTCACTAAGTCACTTGAAAATTCGTAGTTGTAAGAAGTAAGCTTAAGTTATGACGCTTTGCATCTTCTTCAGCAAGAACTAAAAAATCTTCCCAACTACAAAATCTACAAGTCTGACAAATTTTAAACTCGCAAAATAGTTTCACTAGCTTAAAACACTGTTTTTTTTTTATTTCTCACAGAATCCCAATAAACCTGCTTAGATACTGTTATTAGCTGCTCCCACACTTGCTAATTTCTGTCTATAAAAAGAAAACTTAAGGCAATATGAGACCATTCAAGGAGGTCAGTAGTATCACGTTATTTGGAATAATAAATTAAGAGTCCTACCTCATTTTATCCAAGTGGAATTACGTGTGCTTTTAAGATGACATTCAGGCTAACAGACCAACCTTCCAGCTAACACAAACTGTAGAGGTTTCGGTTTCTGCAATTTTCAATAGCACAAAACTGGCAAATGAACTACAATGGTAGGGCATTATACTTAAAGAGAAGAATATTATACAAAATGGAGAAAAAAGTTCGTTCTGGAAGTTTTTAGTGGTTGGTTAATTTTTGGGTAACATTAATCACTACAGTGAGATTCCTGGCAATGCCGAGGGTGTGCACTTCTGAGGAATCCTTTACTAGGACAAAACAGTTATCAAGAGCTGCTAGGTTTTCAACGATTCTCCAGATGATGTAGGTCAGTGATGAATATCACTTTGGAAATAAAGAAAATTAGTGCGCAATGGTTTGGTGCTGTAAGTTTTCTGGATAAACAGTAAATGCAGTAGCACTGTTGAATTAATTTCTAAACTAGGCCAAGGATAACCTGCAACTACCGAGTGTTGACTTTTCGTTCACCACAGTTAAGCAGCCAGCACTGTACAAGTTAAAATACCCACAGTCAAAAAGCCCCATCATTTCCTGACACGCTTTGTTCTAGCTTTCATCAAGCCTAATTCTAACTACCAGAAAGCATCACATAAAGAAGTACTGCAACACCCATAAAATAGTAAGTATTAAAGATGTTATCCACCTGGCAGTCCTTATTGACTCTTATACATTCAATTTCATCATTTTAATCAGGATTGAAGTTGTCAATCCATGGAATTGGTGTAATAAATATTTCAGTTAAAAGAACCTGTCTAGTAACTCGAATGAGCATTATTTTAACTACAGCTAATATGCAAACTGTACAGAAAATAACAGATTTTAAAGCCTTAAAAGTCAAATACTTGGTTCTCTTTAAAAGTATACAAATTTAAGAAGGCTGTAATAGTTTTATATACATCCTGTGTACTAATAATATGGGTTCCTTATCAATAACTACGGTTACTTGTAATATTAGAGAAGAGTCATGGTATGATAAATACCAGAGATAATGAGGTTGGTTTAATGCGGTCTGAGCTTTGATATTCGACAGACAAAACGAGTGAAGCGTACGACCTATAAGATGCGTACTGTCGAATACATTGAGACGTAAAGTCTATTTCATTCCTCATGTGTTCTGTTTCCCTTTTGCTTTTGCCTACGTATGACCAGTTCGAATATATTGTCTGTTTTGAAATTTTTACAAGAAACCCATTTTCTCCTTCTAAACACTTAAATAATCTACTCAATGATATTACTTTTCAAGTGTCATCGTCATCCCATCATCGATCACTAGAAGTAGTGCAGCTAACACTCAATTTGTAGTACGCCGAACCGAAAATATTGTTTTCAAATAACCCTATTTTTCAATGTCGTCGTGTTCATTGAAGCTCCAATGAAGACTTTAAGTATGCAAACCTTTGTTCCCTTGTCTTGTTTCATAGTTTAATATCACCAAAAGACTCTTAAGTTTTCATATCCAATGCTTTGGAATCCACTACAATAGGAATGTCTTCGCTTCTACACCCACTGATCAAAAAGGCCCACTATTAGGTCTGAAACGAATGTTTAACATCCCTATAGTGTTCTTCTGAATTACAAGAACAACATAAACAGGTTTCTGCATTAATGAAACTACTTCGTAAATGAGAATTAGTGTAATCGTTTCTTCTTTAAACTGGCATTCCCAAATCAATTGAAAAACTCATTAAAGCAGGGCTCATATAAATCCGTTTCTGAATATGTTCATGAATCTTCACAAGGCATTTTTCGCCTGTGTGATACAGTGTACTTTTCACATGTGATGTAGTTTTTAAGAAACACCATCTGTAGACCATTCGGTTATATCATATAAACTTGTTACTTGAATTTGGTGCTAATAGTTGAATCAAATTTTATGTTGTTCTATATGTGGTCGGACAGCTGAAGTTCCCTGTTAAATAGTCTTTCTGATCCATCTGCTATGGCTCTCTCTCCATAAATAACATGATTCAAATCTTTTCTGTTCAGTTTGAGCTTGACTCACTGGTCACACAGTGAGTAAATTTGCTAAATTTGTTCACTGACATCAAATAACTCCGCTGACGATAAAGAGTATAAAACAATCCTTAGAACTGTCAGTGACTAAGCTGTGACGCGATGTTCGACTCTCTTTAAAAACAAAAGCTAAATCCAATCATTAGAAGGAAGTTAGGTTACGAAGTGTATCCACAACAGAAGTATTGGCAATCTATTCCATCCAAAACCTAACCGTATACTTAAAGAAGACATAAGTAGTCACTTTACTTACCATGACCTTAAAGTATTTTTTTTCGCCTTCAAATCATCTGAAAAAGCTCTTATTATGTAATTTTCTTTCACTTTCCATCCTTTTTTATAGTTTCCTGTTTGAGACTACTATTGGAATTGCATAGGATTTTTTTACCTTCATTTTCTCCCCCTTTGTTCATCGATCTATTTACCTTGATACCTGAAAGTAAATTTATCTGGGACATTCCACCCCTTTGGTTATATATCTGCAAATTCAGAGTTATGAGTAGCGAATTAGTTAAGATAAATGTTTTCGCTTTAATTACCTTCTGATATTACCATTTGTAACAGTACTTCAGTCTATATTGAAAGACAGCTTGAAATATACAGTAAAGTGTAAATAAAAATAAAGTATCTTAAGAAACACTTTAAATATACTCTTTATGCTTTCCCCCACTTTTATTTCACCTGAACTATCTCAATATCAAACTTTACTATTATCAGAAATTCAACCCACTATTATATATTTTTTATTGAAATTGGATAGCAGCCTGATTACTTAGTATATTCATACGTTATCGTGAGCTATTGATCAGAGATTTTTTGAAATGAATAAATTCACTCCATTTATTAAACATAAAACGATTACTATCTGAAAAGAAACTACTGCTCTCTCCATCTCATTGTTTACTAAAACCATTTTCAACCATTTTTCCGAAGAAATATGTTAAATTCGTAAATTATGTTCTTCAGAATTATTTTTTTATACACCATAATTATATTGATTCATCAAAAAGAGTATGCTATGGATCTTATATCAGAGGAGTGTAATTTGAAGTCAGAATGGGGTTTCTGGCGTTGTCCGGGTGTTGGTCGAAAATGTAGTAGTCAGTTTGCTTCACGTTACAAATGCATTGGTGGCGATTGTACTATTGACAGTCCATGTGCTAGACTTGAAAAACACAATGTAAGTTATTATTTCATTACTGGGTTAGGGTAATTAAACTAAACAGCGTCATCAGTTTTCTACTAATACGACTGCCCAGAATGGAATGGTTTAGAAAGCTACACTACACTAAGTAGAATATTCCAGGTGCGCAGTTAACAAGATCAATTTCGAATAACTATAGAGGATGTCTGAAGTTCCGATGGAAACATAAGAACAGCTGGTTAACGTGATTGGTCCCCAAGAGTTAATATTAACCAGAAACATGTATCGTGAGATCAATGTACTCATTCTTGGTGACACCAATATTTCCAACTCCTAATGTTAGTGTTATAGAACAAAATGGTTCTACACAACTATCGTTATCATATCGGTTACCGATCATACGAATACCTAGACTGTAACTAAATTCAAAGATAATAACATGCAGAGGAACAAAATAAGCAGAACTGAGCAATGAATTACAGCACTAAGCAACAGTCCAAGAAGAGTAAGTCAATAATAGAAACATACTAGAATGAATAACACGGGCATGAAAGAAAACAGAATGGCTATTCACGGTACACACAAGTGGTAGCTAAAAAAGCGTCTTACTTGAGTATTGTTTCTCCCTGTAATTCTAACTAGAAGAATGAATTGCGTTCCCTTTGGTTACGCAACTCAGGGAGATGCAGTTCATGGATCAGCAAACAGATGACAATCAGTTTAATGGTCATGTGCTAACTGCTCAGAAATGACAGAATTTTTGAATATTTTCACTAACCCAATACGGTGCATTATATTTTGGTGGTGCATGTATGTTTCATGTTTCTTAGCACTCATCAGTACACCGTACTTGCACATACCAAGCCACCGTCTGCCTCGACGTGCAATGCTGAGCGAAGCTGGATTAGCTGGTAGAGGGTTTACGGTGGCCAAACCAAGACGTGACACCAGTCCACAAAGTCCCTGAGTGTTTGTTTGTGCAGTGTACTGAGATATAGACTACTTGGCTAAGGTTCCTGAGATGACAAGAACCGGTAGTTGAGGACTGTCGGTAAAATAGCTGGAAATCAGTCTCAAAAACGTAGATGTATCCACTCCATGAGGTCTTCTAAAACTTTAATGTTCTGAGAAGCTCTAATTTTTAAATTCCTGCTACCCCCATACAGCTTTGTCTGTTTTGTTATTAGTCTTTCCTGTCTACTTTTTCTTTTAAGGTAGTATGAATTGTGGTAACTTGGACCGATGCACTTGTGTTTGAGGTTCTACGTTGATTTTGTCTATCAAATCTGTGACCAGAAGAAAAAGAATTGATTCTTAGAAATACAATCTCATATTACTCAACACTGGCGTCAGCGGCATTATCACTAATCCAGGACTTGACAAATAAACTACTTGCTATGTGATGACAGGAATCTTATAAGTTGTACAACTAAGGGGTAGTATCTCTTACTTCAGTACTCAGTGAGGCAGGATAGAATCTCAGGGATAATGCAATTTCTCTCAATAACGCATTTATTCCCTGTTGATGAATGCCAGCAAGAATGAAACCAACGTTAAACAGGGTTGAGAACAGTTCCTTCTCATCTTATCACGTTGGGTATGAAATTCTTTCAGAATAAACTGGGTCTACATGCTTCGGTGTACTGTTTACATTCATCACTTTTATGGAAGAGTTTCATCGATCACAAGATATTGGGTACCTACGAGTACCTACAATATAAATTCATAGACCTATGCAAAATATTTATTGCTTAACCTATGTAATAAATGATCCCATTTATGTCTTATAAAATGCAAGTCTCTTCAAGGTTTTTGAGCAAATACTGCATTTACACCACACTCATTCTTAATTAACGTTTAATTTCTCTACCGTAAAGAACACAACACTACTGAAACCATAACTGTGAGAAATAGTTTTCGACTTATATCTTTCATGCTATTCTTGACTCATCAACTTAGTTTGCCCGTGTATCAGTAGGCCTTTTTATATCATAAGGGCGATAAGTATTGCGTGTCTTGCAATTCAGTCTTCTGGCATGAGTTGAGTAACTGTTTACTGCAATAAATTCAACTTCTGTGATCAATAATTAGCTGTCCATCTGGTCAGTAGGATAAATAAATGCTACAGCTAGTAATTTTAAAACTGAGTGATTGCTGGTTAAATCACAAGTGTGACATCATAAAACTGTAAGGATGTCAAAAAATGTTTCTGTCTTGTAAATGACCACACATCATAGTACATATATATATATATATATATATATATATATATATATATATATATACAAACTTTCGAATCTTAATAAAATGCATATCTCTGAGTTTTGTTCTTCATATAGCAAACAGATTCTTGTACTAAAATCCTTCAGCTTGGAGAATGTGTACCCTGGTGGGTTAATTGGTCACCGTGGTCTAAGTGCACAGCAACATGTGGATCAACTGAAAAACATCGTTTCCGTGCCTGCGTTGGAGCGTTCACTCGACATAGTCATAAACAAGAAATACAAGAATCAATTTCAAAATCATGTTCATCTATTAAGAGAGCACATGACAGCGTTGAAACAGTTCCTTGTCCAATAAGTCGTTTATGTCCCATAGTTGGAGGTGGCTGGGGTGATTGGAGTGAATTCTCTGCATGTTCAGTTACTTGTGGAGTGGGAAAACGTATACGTCGCCGTCAGTGTAACAGACCAAGGCCTGAAGGTGGTGGCTTATACTGTCAGGGTAGTGACTTTCAAGAGGTAATTTCAAATGTACGCAAACAAACTGCTAATAAACACTTGGTTACTTTTAGAGTCAATTTAAATTTTCATATGGAAACCTCAACAATTCACATCCTTGTAATAGAGGAATTCGCATCTAAAAGTCAGTACTGAGAAAAAATTCGACCATATACTGACAGGGAAATAATGTTTCTATTCCAAAATGCAATTAAACTTACCGAATTCTGCATGTGCGAGTACTATCCTGATCAATATCCTATCTAGCCTAGAGTTAGTACCAGCAAAAGATAATCGGAGAAAAACCTCAAGTTATTTAGAACTATTTAGAAGATCAATATATTTGATAGTAGAGAATTTACAAAAGTATTTGGGGCAGTTATACAGTGGAATGATAGGTTCTGACCGTGTAAGTGCATGGATAACAATAGAAAGATCAGAATGGTAACACAACAAACCCTGAGTGAATCTTAATATTATCTGATGATTTGAAAGATTATTGAGCTAATAGTGTTCCATGTTACAGCTCGTGAATCTCTGCCGTTGACTGAACCGAACTGATCGGCTACTATTGGCATATGGGCTCCTGCATGGATGCCTCAAGGCTGTCGGTATTTCAAATTTGGTGTTAATCACAGATAATGATAATTCACTTGGTTGTGGGTAGCAGAAGAATCCAGGACGCTCGTTTCGTCCTACTTGGGACTCGTCAGTTGGATGTGCCTGCTAGCCACAACCAAGTAAATTATCATAATGAACATTCAGGCAATATCAAGGCCTCCACATCGGAGCCGATATGCTAAAAGAGGTCTAACAATTCAATCCAGTAAAACAATGGAGAATTACAAGCATATCAACAAATAGTAATCATAGATAATGGCTAGCAATGGAATCCAGGAAGCGCGTTTCGTCCTCTTTAGCTAACGTTTGAAATTTTTAAAGCCTTGTTGTGTTTTGATTTCACGGATGTTCTAGTTGTTAACTCCTTCCTAGAAGACTGTCAGAATAACAGCGATCCTTAATCCGGAAACGCAACTGTGAAACCAATATTCAACACGTTTGCGTATTTAGGATGCCTTAGATGATGTATAGACCTTCTAAGCTATTGAAAGCATGCAGACTTAACGGGAATGAAAAACTTCTGTCCAAGTACTGTCTAGCTCCGACTGGTGATACATACTACAAGAGTTGTTGCAGTAAACGAAAGCAACGACCAAACGTTCCCTAGCTATAACACAACAGTAAAGGTGAGTATTTGTGAACTATTAGTTTTCTCAACTAGAATGAATAACGAATGAATTAGTGACCATCTGTTGGCTACCAGAATACGCCACAATATTAAAATGCTATCTCACCAGCTTATATGAAAGGAATGGTCTTGATCTGTTTTCTCAATGAACTGAGCAAAACGAAACTTCACTATTCTATTAACTTTTTACTCACTGAAAAAATATGATTGTTTGGAGTGTATTTAACAAAATGGACCCAAAAAAATAGAAAGTAAGTACTAGATTCGCATGTCGACATTTCACACAAAGGTTAACGTTTTACCAACTCATCAACTGCGATTTCAACAAAGTCTGTGCTGAGAAACACCCATTGAAGACCGCAGATGACGATTTAAGTGTCTAGAGTATTCCAAAGTAATGAAGTGCATCAGTAGTTTAAATTACTCCTCCTTGTGTCTAAGTCACTCTGATCTGTCTAATGCACGAATGAGTCTAGTTGTTCGTTAAAATAATAAAGATCAAAATATATAACCCAGTTACTGACATAATGAGGTCCGTATTTGAATTCATGTAAACTGTAGCAACTGTAGTAATTCTTTTCCGTTTATAATCTAAATATATCTTGAATAATATTCCAGCTAATATGGAGATTTAAACCAATGATGTTACAACGCTATGTTTTTTGCTGACACATCCCATACCCTAGACTGAAACTGGGAACAAGAATGAATGAATAATGAAGCATTTGACACATTCAGTTATATGTTTCCAATCATTTCACAGCACAAATAATATTCTTCAGATGCTATATACTTCGCTTTTACACGTTGTATGTTAGCTAGCCAATTTATCTAGACATCTTGTGATAAATAATGCACACTATGACTAAAATCTTATAACTAGTCGTTTTTAACGAACCTAATTTATCACATATTTTCAATAGTCAAACAATATTTCATCGTATCCATTTACTCAATTTTTGACCTCTTTAATTAGAAAATGTTTTAATGAGCTTAATTATCACGCATTAAGCAAATATTAAATGGAATTTGTTTTAAATTTTATACAGGTTACATGTGAAGGTTATGTTCCATGCCCTCAAACGGGGCAGTGGTGCCCGTGGTCACCAGTTGTCCAACAATGCACCCACAACTGTGGACTACATGGAATGGGACTCAGGTTACGTCGCTGTGCATGCCCAAAACCATCTCACGGTGGATCAGACTGTAAAATCCCACCAGAAGCAGCAGAAATAGCGAATTATGAAAGGGCTAAGGCATCTAGCAATAGTCCTGACGCTCCCAAAGGATTTGAGATTGAAACAATAGCTAAAGGTGAAGGATTATGGGTACCGTGCAATCGTCATCATTGTCCATATTTGAGAACGCTAGATGTTAATGAAGAACCACTCATTTCACAAGATCTAATTCTTCAAAAACCTGAAGATACCTGGATTTGGTCAGGTGGAATACCACAGAAACTTAACGGTCCTGTTCACTTATTCTGTCCACGATCTCATACTTCCCGTAAAGAAGTATTTGATAAACCAGAGCGTTTTCCTAAGTCAAAATCTTACTGGACTCGTTCCATACCAACTTCTTCGAAGGAATCATATGATAATCCAGGAGAGCCAGTAGAAAATACGAAACTCATTCTTGTTGAGGGTGATCATCTGACTATTCGCAAACTCGAACCATCAACTATGGGAATTTATAGATTTGGTTATGAATATGAACCTGGGTACTTTGAAACAGTTTGTTTCTTTCCGGTTTACATTCAGAATTGGCAACAAGTGAGTAATAAAGTAGGTAACAATAATCACGGAAATCTTAAATAGATTGATGATAAAAATAGTGGGAAATGTGAGCATGAATTTGAATACGTGATATTATTTCGAAAAATGATAGCTAAATCCCCAGGCACAAAATGTGTTTCAGACAGGTTTTCCTGACAAATAATCCCCAATGTCCAACACTAAACACCCTTGTATCGACTGCGTAGTAAATCGAAACTTGATCGATAGACTTCAAACAGCAACACTTATTTGACATCTCCATCAGTTACATTCTGCCATACAATAGCACCAGAGATATAATGCATTAAGTGAATAAATAAGATGAAACAGCCTAAACCATAACCAAGTAGCTAATTGACGAGTCAGTGAACATAGAAGAAAGAATGTTACGTTTTTTAATTTTGTGTAGTCATTCAGAAAAAGTTTCAATTGTAGTAATATTGGATAGCTGGTTAGCTAGCTACCTTCGTATTTAACATCATTAATCCACTGCTGAAGTTACCTCAGTCTAAAGAGATCAGTATCCGTAAGTCGTACTGTCATCATTCGGTGTAACTAACGAAGTAGAAGTTGGTGAATTTACCATCAAATAATAACATGATGATACCTGTAATGACAATGAAGTCATAGATACAAAGCACTCATTCACATCTCTGCAGGAAAAACTCTGAAAGACTATGCTAGAGCCAGAACCTGGACAGTAGGTTAGTCTCATAGATCAGTCAGTACAGTGCCTAGCGGCAACCCATTTTAATCTCTCCGCCACTCAAATGTTTGTGCCATCTTCGGTCATAAACCCTGGAATTAATGGTCATTATCACAGTTCAGAAGACCTCAGTTCTTGAACATTGGGACAGTGATAACAAGTATGCGTAATTATAATTACTGTTGAACAGCTTTATTACCCTAACATAAGATTTACCCTCTGACATGATAGCCTTTAATAAGTTTTCTCGAGACTATGCACGAAAAGCCATAATTTACAAAGTAAGATGTCTGAAGATTTAATATTCTGACCAGTGGTTCTAGATGTAAATATGTATGTTTACAGTGACGAAAATTTTGACTAATTATATCGAGATGATACTAGATGGAGGGTATCAAATACGCAACGCTTGCTTGGTACTGTACTAAATCTCTCATCGTCCGAAACTTCCACTACCATAACTGCATCATAAAACTATATACTCAACATTAATTCGTAAAGTTACCACTTAAAAGCATAGACTGAGATATTTAATTTTTCCATCGCTTAACAGTATAGGTTTATGATAGATTTAGTATGGATTGCTTTGAAAATTTATGTTAGAAATTTATACTACTTTCATTTTTCTAAGTACAACGTGTATCAACACTTCTTTGTGCTTATAGACATTACCTCACGGAATAACTTTTGATCTAGTTTGTAATTCATTGGGATTGTGGCCTATAATTAGTAAGCCTACAACAGGTAGATGGTACACTTATTGGAATGTCACTTTAATAAAAGAGATGAAAGATATCGAAAAACAAAACTTGTGGTGGTACACAGAATTGAAAATGCCTGATATTACTCAAAAAGGAGAAAGTATCCCAGATACCAATGAAACAAGCAATATTTCAACATACGGAACAGGATTGACTGTGTGGGATACAGAATACAGAAGAATTTATGATACTGTGGAAACAATGACAGGATATTATGAATGTCAGGTATACAATCAAGTTAATGCCACTTATAGTAGAATATTTACCACACAATCATTATATCTCGTGATAAAACCAGCTCCGGATTTATGGACTTTAGTAAGTTCTTCAGTAATTTTGTTAGTAGGGGATTTTCTTGTATTTGAAGGTAAATTTACCAGTATAATATATTTCTTGCATGTGACAGCCTTACAGTCTTGTTGCATAAAACTTGTATTAACAAGAACCATGAGATGAAGAGCCAAAGTTTATTCTAAAGTTTTCTCTGGTCACAGAAAAATTTCGAAAAGATGCATCAAATGTACCTATAAGTTACTTGTTGCTTAAAAATGAATAACAATACCTCTGGGTAAGAAACTACTGCGAGGAGAATGGCTAAATCTATGGTAGTCAGTTATTTACTTCATATACACCAAAAATCTACATACACATCATAACAAAAAAAATTAGAATGATTTACTGTGTGAATTTCGCAATGAAACTGAAATCATTACGAAGTTATAATTTGCTAGTCATTGATGTCGAAAATAAAATTGTTGCCATTCTAGTACTTATCACAGAGTCAATTGTAAGTAGTAACATGGTTGACCACTTAAGACTAGAAAACAACTCTAAGAGGTTAGTTAATCATCAAACCTTTACATAGTTGCAAGGAACTTGTTTGGTGTTGCCTAATATCAGTGAAATTGATGGAATATCTGACTATCAGTCAGAGGAAAGAATACTGCAAAGCATACACCGTAGGAATTTTAAACACGGTTACCAGGGGCGGAAGAAATGACCATTTTCTAGGCATTCTATCAATGACAATTCTGCTGCAGTTGTTATTCCTAGTGGGACCAAGAAGTAAGCACCACTAAGCTTAGAGATAGAATGTCAGATAATGAAGGTGTATCAGTCGATAAGGCGGATGGGGAGTTCGGAATGCATGTTGAGCTACAGTTTAATTCAAAATATAGTGTTAAGTGAAGTAGGATTAGGTTAAAAGAACAAGGTGGAACGATCCAAAATAAACATTTTTCTCGCGTTTGAGTGCTGAAAACTCATACTCATCCTATTATTTACATCCCAGGAGTTCAATGCAACCTGTATTTTCTGATTCCTTTCCTTGAATAAAATTTTTCAATTTTCAAATCTTGGAACTGAAATAGGACAAGATAGTTTGATGAAGAGTTAATTATTCCTTGCACAACATTCTTAGTGGTCAAACGGGATAACTAATTCTACCGTCTATAATGAACGTGTAATGTAGCTCTGAGAAAGCACAGAACGCAAACAAATAAGCTATTATTGATATTATGTATATCATTGACATCAAAGGTAATGACAAATATCGTTTATTAAATAAAGGTATATCCTTAGTAAGACCTGGCATAGGATAAATGCCATGTAAACTGCTAAAGTACATACAGATTCTACCAGACTATCTGATCCCACGATAATTAAGATTATCAATCAAATCATCTTATCTAAACTATAGAAAGAATATGAAATCCCACAAAGTGTAAAACACTTCAAAATCTTGGCTAATAACAAACGGACTTCGTTATCTCGTATATGCTTAGGCAATAACTATGCATTACTGCAACATTAGTCATAAAAGGTGAAAATGAATGGAATTGGTAACATGTTATGCAAACTTAGACGATGTTCCTAAAAAATAATATCAAAACCCTATATTACTATTTGCTAGTACGAGACCATTATAAATGCTACTGAAAAAGATTCTTCAATAGCTTTAACATCTCATAACAACTCACCCACTGATCTCCCTCAGTTTAAACACAACCAACAGTAACTATTCTTCAGCTATCCACGGTGATACCGTATTTTTGCTTGTTAATGCAATAATAATCTATTTAGCTTCCCTCTTCATGCTATTGTCAATAGTCATTAACAAATGCTTTCTACTTCTTCACCCTCAATTGTATGAGGATGTTGTTGAAAAGAAATAATAATAAATACGTTATGAAGAAGCTTTCAAATTACGTTATTTTGGCAGACTAAAAATAGTTCACTCGTCAATATCTTTAGTAGGATAGGTTACACAAAAATCTGTCAACATAAGTACCTACATTCTACTATTTTGATAGTCAAGTTGGTTTCTTACTAGGAATGCTGTTGTTCTTAATTCTTACTTTTTGGTTCGATGAATAAAAGAGCCTGTTAGTCTTAACAAACATGCAAGTAAATAAAAAAAACTCGATATTCATAACTGAAGACGACAATCCAGTAGGAATTATTTCATCAAATTAGTTTTGGTCGTATCACTAAAAATGAAACCAGTTAACTAAATCACTTGTATAAATGCATTTTTCTCGTAAGTGAATTCACAGGAGAGGTCAGGTGAATAACCACACTTCAGTCCTGTATGCGTGTCTCACAAACACAGCACACATCCATGCCTCGAGTTGCTAGAGTCTTTGCCAACGAAGTCTGTTGGCCAATTTGATGGAGGGTGCGGACATTGAAGGCTCCAATATGTAATTTGGAGCGTGGTTTAAGGAGACCAGGGACACTGTTCTGTGGACTCAGATCGTTGTCGAAGGCTGCAGAGGTAGGAGAAATTGAAGATGATGCAGCATCATTAATTAAGAGACGTGAAGGAAGATTAGAAGGTAATGATGGAGGAGATGGATAGCAGTCTAAAGAAACTTGGGTGCTGACAGAGTTGTGAGGGTGGTTGACACTTCCCGGCTGCCCACACTGTGGAAGGCTATTTCTTCTTAAGGTACCTGAAAGAGATTTGTGTGACCGCAGAGCCCATCGGACATCTGCTTGAGGCCTGTCACACCCAGCCTTTTGAGTATGATTATTTTGAACGTTTGTATTTTTGGGGCCGGATGGTCGAAAGGAAGCGACAAGTGAACCAACACCGCCAGCCCGGCAGACCATGGGGCATGGTGGGGTGTGTTATTGTTGGGGCAGACCTTTTCTAACCCCGGTTTACTGAGAAGGTAGCATCAGCATGGCACTTTTGGTCATCCAAGGGAAACACCTTACTGCTGTCACACCCCATCCAGCTAGCAGCAGTACGACTTCGCCCTCAGACCCCATCATAGTGTAGCAATTTACACTATAACGGTAACTGCTTTTCGTCTAACCACTATCCAACAGACCTTTCTGGTATGGTAGGACCTCGAGGGAACAAGCGTTCCACCAGCGTAGCTCGTTGGGTCATTGTGATATGCAAGCCCGACCACCACGTCAAGGTAGCAGCTATCAGTCGGGAGTGAATTCACAGATTAATAAACTATACTGTTAGGTGCAAAAGCACTACTAATCCAGATCTAATATTATTCTAAAATTTCCCGCTTCCTCATATAAGACTAATGTTATCAAATTCAGGCTTTAAAATTTTACTTAGCTATTATATTGTGGATTCAGATTTCCAAACTCTTCATCAGAAACCACAAATCCGTGAAACCTGTTACAATCAACAAAGGGTGGAATCTGGTTACTCATCAAGAGTCCACCTATATACATTTGAAGTTATATCAAAAATTACTACAAGGTTACAACAAGGATATAAAAGTGACGACTGAGGGTGTAAAATAAGCTCAAACTCTTAACTCATCTTTTGAAGATGACTGAACTAAGTAGCAATACAAATGAAATTTGTTTCCAGTCTAAATCAGTATACCTGTTGGATATGCTACCATTTTCTATATTTCTTAATAGTATTTCCCTAAAATCACTTTGGCTGTCATTAGCCTCCGTCGGCTCTCATTGGTAATTTGGATTATAGGTCCAGTGATTTTCCCTTGGAGAAGCATCACAGTCGAAATTTTTCAAAATTTAGTTGAACCGCTTCAAAATTAACTACAGTACCCTCACATTGAACTCCTGAGGTTGCTGCATGTAACCACCTAGGCCTAGACATTCCTGCTTGAGATTCAACAATATACAGTAGTTTATATTAGATAAATGTTTCACAAAGTTACATTACAATTCTAAATACCCTAACATGCGTATCATTTCTCATTTTCTTTTATTTAAGGTAAAAGAATGGTGCATCCAACATAAAGTCGGTTTGATTGTAATATTTACTGTTGCCATCATAAGTAGCATAGCATACGGAATATGTTTATGGATAAAAGCTAGAAAGTTAGCTAGACTAGAACTTCAGGTTAAAGAGGCTAGAAATGAAAGACAAATTAGAAAACTTCATGAAATCGATGCATCAACAAAGTGAAAACGTAGCACTTTTAAGCAATATACTCTTTATCTTTCTACACTTAAGCAAATACACACTTGATCATCAGTTGCCTTTTCAAACTTAAACAAAAGTACACAGTCGATTCCCAATGATCAATTAAGAAATACATTGTTGTTTGAAAAAGAGTATAAAAAATATCATGAACAATATGATTCTATATATATATATATATATATATATATATATATATATATATATATATATATATATATATATATATATATATATATATATATATAAACTGAATGTATCAATATTGTCATTTCTTTGTTCTGAGTAAATTCCTGTTTCGAGTTCAGTTTCTGCTATCTTAGTGGATTTCTTGGGCCCTCAGCTTTTCAACTAAGTAAATAGACGTGGTTAGTCACCTAGTCTGATGGTCGCATTACAAAATCATCGATGGAATTCGGCTAACACATAGGTATGAACAATATGAAGTTGTTTACTATTCCTCATCAACAGCACGCAGCAGTGACGTAGATTTCAATCTTTGAAGGGACATCAGTTCCCCTGAGAATCAAGATACACCTTTTCAATAAATACCATCAATCCAAGAAACCTATATCTACGGCTTTCTGGCGATTATCCCCTTTACAAGAAACATAAGAATATGACAAAGAATAACTATACAACAGTAAGATTTCCCGAATTTCAAAACAGCGTATCGAAAAAGGATATAGAAAAACATTAAGATAATAGCATCAGGAGTCGCAAAATTCAATAAAAGAATAAACATGTACATAGATTGGTTTATGGATGCCGACTTCTGTAACTTTCTAGACCTGAGTATGCAGCACTCGGCAAACTCTATCGGCTTTTTGTATTGCGGAGAATAAGACTAATAATGCAAAACTGCACTGTTTTCCTTTTATCATCATCATCATCATTATCAACATAGGACCAGGCATTACTGCGTAACGGTCCGAGTTGCCACACCTCATATCAGCACATCAAGTAAAAAGGTAGTGAGGTGAAGGATGAAGATAAGTGAATGCAGTCAAAAGAAATATAAAGTATGAGAAGAAAGGAAAGAGGAGTGACAAAATGGTGAGATTCGGTATAGCGTTGTTAAGATGAGGATAATGTGTGTATACATCTGCGCCACTGACTTCGGTTCTGAGCCATATCACCTAGGGTCTCCAACCACTGGTTCCTCTTGTCCCGTGGACCCCAACCACCTAGTCTGCATCGTCCTACATGGCTTAAACCAACAGTCAGAGACTTTTAAGAGGCAATCGACAGGAAGCTATGCTTGGTCAACGTTTCCACTGTTGGTATTGATCAGTAAGGAGTATATTCAACCACTGAGATACTAATGTTGCTTCACACAGTTAAATCCATGTCGTTCAGTGCTGATGAGATACGCGTGTGTGTCTCCAAGCTAGCACTAATTTCTTCAGTGCTGCATGTAGGTCTTGATGATGAGTAAAAACTAGTAAGAACCTATCTTAAGTATAAGTTCCTAATGATTGGTTTTAATATGTAAAACCATAATAAATGTATGGCAATACAATTAAGATAGAGAATGAATGCACCTTCGCCACTGCAATCGAATCTGAGGCCTGTAATTACAGATCCAGGTTGTCTTGCAAACCCTAACCAAGAAGCCCACATTACCCTAAATGTATCTGATCAGTAATCAGAGCATTATGGTTTGGTGTTATTTCCGCGCCTAACTAATATCAAGTTTCTAAGGAAAAAATCTTATGGTTCTCAACATGGTCAACATACTTCTCAGTCATTTGAAATAATTATTACTAAACGTTTTCACTGTTACTAGCAGTATTGTATCAAAAGTGGGTAGTGAAACGCAGAAACAGTGTTACTAAAATACTGCCGCCCTCCTAAACTGTCATTTGAAAAGACATAATTAACTGTCGAATGAAAGACAGTTGATTTTACTGTTATTACTCTACAGAGATGTGAACTACCCCATAGTCAATACTTTTAGATTTAAATCCTATACAGAAAAATTCTAGGTAGGTGTTTTTCATTCTCTCCCAAGCCTTTTGAACGGTTTTATCTGCACATGGAATGAACGTTAGCACAATTACAAGAATTCCTGATTCAAAACCAAAACATTTATAACTATTTGTTGATATGCTTATAATTCTTTGTTGTTTAACTGGACCGAATTGTCCGACCTCTTTTGGTAAATGGGCTCCTATGTGGATGCCTCAATATTTATAATGAAAATGTTGGTGTATGAAGCGAACAACACTCACTGGTGTGCATTTACATCCACCGGACGAGTCCCAAGTGGGACGAAACGCACATCCTGGATTTTTCTGCTAGTCACAACCAGGTAAATTATCATAAAACAGTTATGTTAGGAAACTCTGAATCATAAAAGTTGTCACTGAAGAACAAACTCTTTCTGCTGCTTGTGTTTGTTTTAAGTGCTTAGATATTTTCATAGTTAGATATTGGCTTAAAAGCATAAGCTCCATATTGCAGTGTTGTACGCCAGGTCTTTAGAAAGGCAATTTAATAGCATGATTGATTAAGATCTAATTCTGAGCATAAAACAAAAATTAGACTGGATTTGACTATTAGAGTAGACCTTGGGCACTGTGGTAGACCGCAGCATCCTTTTAGCTTTTTTTTTTTATATGTACCAAACACTGAAACAGTATTATTTACTGGATCATGTTCCGGACACAATTTATTGGAAAATATTTGCTTCTTTTTATTTCTTGATATAACAACTGAGAGGAAATTACAGTGGATATGTTTTGATGAAGCTTAAAAATTTTTTTAGGTATTCGAATGCTTGTAGCCCCCCCCCCCCTAGTCCATGCTGGTCTACTTCGGTCAACACCGAGGTGACAGTGGCTCGACGTGGGAAATGCATGGCCAAACCACCTCAGTCGGTAAAGGTTAACTTCATCGACCTAATTGCCATTCCTGCTCAGCACCCTCACCATAAGTGAGCAATACTAAGAAGATATGTGGTATAAAAAACCTGTTACATCTTCATCTTTCAACCGCGGTGTCTCGCAGAAGTCGGAAAGGACAAATCAAACTGCTCCACCGTATACTCATCACTTAACAGGTCAGATATACAGCTACGAAGTACAAACGTACTCATTCTTGAGTATCTGGACTATGGGCTATGAAATGGCAGACAAATACGAGAGTTATAATCTACTAGCGAACCACTGAGTTTGGGTTAATAAAATACTCTGCCCAGTGAATATTTCCTTCGCTAGATGAATCTAGAAAGAAGTGCTCCATTGTTATTTACCTGGTAATCGGTGCCACGTCATAAATGGCGTAAGTTAGCAAAATGCCAAACTGGCCTTCTATATCTGTGCTGAGATTTTTTCACCAATATATCCATTATTGCTGACTTAACTCCCCAAAGAAGTGAAGTGGTCAACGCATCCAACCACTTCACTACCTTAAATTTGGAGATGGTCCACACCACTCGTTAAGCGTTATCTTTGCAATAGGCGAAATTGAGCACCACACTAACGTACCAGTTCCAAATGTGTAACCATCGGAGAATCCTGTATTCCAAACCATTTACACAAACATGCCGTCGACTCTCAAAGGCAATTACAGTTCCTTTTAAGGGATAGTAGAATGATGAATAAATGAGGTAGCCAAAGTGGTGTGAATGATATCGGAAAATTAAGATGGAAGAGTGAATTCTGAACATAAAGTATGATTTACCATGTAGATTTTTTGCGAATAATAATAACTAGATAACTGTAATCTTACAGCGCTCACACTAGGTTCATGTTAATCTTGCTTTTTGAATCTGGCTAACATACTAGTATAACAATTTTTGAAGCATATTGGACCAATAAATTACACATACAAGACGTCAGAAATCAACAGATAGAAATCCCTGTTTATTCTACGCTTCATACCTGATGAAACACACCAATAAGGCACATTTGCATCTTTAAGAAATTCAAGTCTGAATGCCTCGAGTGCTGACACCAGAGACTTCAATGCTAAGCTATTCAGGCGATAGTTGACGTTGTACATGACTGGACCATCTACACAAGTCAACCAACCATAAAACGGTAAACAACATACCAGTCGATTCTGAAATACAAACACAGTTCCTCATAAACTGACATTTAACATATAACAAATACCATAGTATATGGCGATAGAACGTCATGTCATCTACCTACTCGTGAACACTGCAAACTTGATCGATAATCTTTAGCCAGTTCACATACTAAAAAATGTCAGTGCTGCATTCTTCATACGATTAAAACCTGTTGAAAAAATTATGTGGCATGAAAAGAGGGTGGAAAATAGAAGGAAAAGCATACATGCATATTTTTTTGTTTACTTTTCATGAAATGCATTACAATAGTAGAAACTTATTCTCATCTGGACACAAAAAAATGAACAAGATAATTAGAGAAAAAAACACAAAAATCTGCAAAACTATACATAATTTTTGAAATGCTCAAATTAAATAAAGTATTTTACACATTTCCAATTGAATCACTGGGTGAAGTCAAACTAATTTTGAGGGTTTTTTGACTGGTACCACTAGTTGTACTAGGAGATTTACTCTGTTGAACTGTACAAATGGTTGGAGTCCAATGAAGACAAGAGGAATCAATGCAACGATCTGCTGTAGGTGGTTTAATTCCACTCAATAGTGTATCTACATCCATCTATATCAAACACACAAACAAACATAGTAAAATGAGGGGGGAAACAACGGAAACTATATTAGTATCACAAGTAACTTCAATGGAGAATATATCAGTTTAATACGAGTAAGGAAAATGCTTACAAATAAACATTGAGTTAATTTCGTGTTTAAGTCAATACAATAAACATATAGTTACTCATAAATCGCAATGAATCATAAACTGCATTCTACATTGAATGGAATTTATGCTATTTATCTGGCATAATACAGTACGATGTTGACTATCAACTAATTACAAAAACTCATAAAAATGACTTGATGTTCCTAAAAATGAATTATTCAGCACGCACACATACATACATTATCCTCGGTTCACGAAGGAACATTTCCAGTTGAAAACACATCTGAAAATACTTAATTTCCTGTATAAAAGTTTTAAGATCCAAAGGTATACTGGAACAATGAACGTGGACGTCCACCAGATTACCGATGACTTCGATGACATTTCCAGCGTATAAGGTGTGTTATTCGTAAGATGTTAATTAGGTTACACCAAGATAACAGCATATGTAAGCATAGAAAAATTTACTTGTAGAACCATGTCATGACCTAACACCTCTCCGAAGTCATAGTACTATTAGATAATATTCTGTAGGAAATATACTAATTTCAACAAGTAAAAGTCTTGTATAATATGTTTGGTGCTTCGTCGCACTCATCAACAGGATGTATCTGCTGTCATAACGTCGAGCATATCTTATCGATTAGCTGCCAACACCACTGTATCATAATGTTGTACCGCATCAGCTAGGTTAGCAAAACTGATCGACAGACATATGCCAATGTTGATCACTTAGAACTTTACGGCCATATGTTATTCCTAGGTAACCCATTGGTGTGCAGAAAGGGCCAAAATCATTGAAAACGGTATTGGAAAAATACATTATCCTAGTAAATAACAATCAGTACATCCAGATTTACATGCTGCTTCTAATGAATACTATGAAGACGATGATGAAAGAACACGAAGAACTCTTAAACATTATCTGCCCAAAGCACTTAAGTTGGCGAACGTAGAGGATAAATACCCGCAGTGAAGCGTTTTAAAAGCTTCTTATAGAGTGACATTAAGTTTATCAAATGAAGAAAAAACTTTTTTAACCCATCCTGACTTAGGAAGTAAGAAATGTGATTTCGTCTATTAAGTTTTCACCAACACCTGAACATATGTCCATGAAATTACATCACGAGTATCAAGAATAACTGGGTTGGTGAAGGATAAATATAAATATAATATTCTAGGTGTGAGTTGAAAGAGCGCATACTAATTACACAAACATTATCCGCAAAGGCTAACACCTTTGGTTACCAAATTCATGGGAACAACTAACTGTTGGCTACTGAAGAGAAACTTGTAAGAAAAATTAAATCAACAGTTGGGGACAATAAGTGGGACAGTTTAAGATCGCTCACCGTGGCACTCAATGTCAATTAACTTCATCCTGTCAGTCGTCAACGCCCTATTACCCTACACATTGTGCCATTTGTCATACGGCTTCCTGTAGTAGGCAGTGATATCTAGTCAAGAAGTAAGTTTTCTCTTCTACACACTAAACCAATGCGACGACCCAACCGATACCTTCCACTTTGATTTGGTGGTCGCAGTCGTATATCGCAATGACTCAACGTGTTATGCTGGTAGAACAATTGTTCCCTCGAAGTCCCAATATGCCGCAGCGGTTTATGAATAGCAATAAGATGAAAAGTAGATATCGTTGTGACGTGAATTACTACACTATGATGGGGGTCTGAGGGGGAAGTCGTACTGCTGCTAGCTGGATGGGGTGTGACAGCAGTAAGGTGTCTCTCTTAGATGATCAGTAGTGCCATGCTGATGCTACCTTCCTTACGGGAAGCGGCTTTTCGAAAAGGTAATCCCAAAGTTAGCACACTCCTCTTTGCTCCACAGTCTTCCGTTGCTGGCGGTATGGTAGGTAGGAGGGGTAACTAGGTAGTGTACGGAAATCAGAGGTAGTGATGTCAGACTGGTGTACATCGCCGATCATCCTAGTCTATAGGAAAACAGAAAAATCATTTTGTGACAGCTGTCAGAACTAGGTTGACTAGTTTGACTAACACTGCGTCCAAGAACCTTCGATCCATAGTTATCTAATGCCTAACTGGAACTCGAGAAAAGCAGGAAGGTTTCAGACCAAAACAAGAGTGCATCAATCAACCCCCAACCCCGCCTTCTGGGAGAGATTCTGAAGCACAGGGATAGTTACCGGCGAACGACAGTCGCCTTATTCCTTAACCTGAAGGCGGTTTTTGACTCTTTCGACTATGAGATGTTGCGGCAATGTCTAACTGTGTCAGAGGAGTACCAATTGATTATATAGAGCTCATCAAAGCTCTCTACTCGAACTTACGCAGACGAATTCATTGGTATTTTAGTATAAGGACTTTTTACATTGAAACTAACCATTTTTCCATCCTTTTCTGTAAGTAGGTCATTAAGTCTTAGTTTTAAGTCGTAGGAATAGACTAGTCTGGAGTTTGAACGATTCCTAATAGGGCATAGTATCAACGTTAAGTACTTCGGTAGATCATATTGTTGGGGTATTTTCTGAAGTTAACTATGGGTCTAGTGGCATATTAACTCTAATGATAAGGTTGTGAACCTTCATTGGACTGAGGTGGCTTGGACATGAGCCCCGCATGTCCAGCCACTACTCATCTCCACGTGTCATGCTAAGGCAAGTTGAACTGGGTAGGAAGAGAGTTCAGAGTGGTCAGACCAAGATGTAGCATCAGTCCGTGAAGTTCCTGACTGTTGGTCTGAGCCGTATAAGGAGACGTAGACTACCTGGCTGAAGTTCGTCGGACAATAAGAATCAGTAGCTGACGACAATTAGTGGAATAGCTGAAATCGGGTCACAATGGCGCAGATGTATTCACTTTTTGACGTCTCGCAAAGCGTGAGTATTTTCACTGAAATTAATTTTTAATTTTGTTCTCCTCCAACGCACCTTTGTTTACTTTGATGTCGGGCCTTCCTATCCACATGTTCTTTGTATTCTACTGTGAAGAGTGGCAACCTGCACTTATGTGCGGGGTTCTACGTTGATTTCATGTGTATATGTGTTCAGTAAGTAGATGAGAGATAGTCGTACAGTCTTCGGACACTAATAAAGTAAATTTTGAAGATTCACTGCGATGGTCAGCCGAGGTCAAATGGATAACTACGCTCTGGTTCTATATATGTGTCTTAAAAACATATTATACATCCATGGCCGCAGTTTTGCGACAAGTGATGCTTGATGTCCGTTTTGGCATGGAATTAGGACGATGAAAGCTCCTACATGAAATCGATGGTGCGGTCTTAGGAGACTACAAATGAGGTTTCACTAATTTGGATTACTAGGAATGGTCACAAAGTGAGAGGTTGTCCAAGATGTTAGAGGTTATATATTGGTGTTAAGGAGTGAAGACAATGACAGAAACAAAGGTAAGGAGGGTAAGTTATGTTTCATACAGCTATGCATACAGCTGGCGGTCGGTTGCCGAAGGTTAATTCTCCTTGAGGTGCCTGAAAAAGAAGGAATGGTGCATGCCCGCAGAACCCAACAGACATCTGCTTGAAGCGAATTATATAGGGTACATTCACAAGTTTGAGGTATTAGCTTGCTTTCCTCAAACCTGAATATAAACCCATATCACCGGCACCAGTATACCGTGGAGAAGAAGGGTATGCTATGTTAGAGTTCACCTTCCATAACGCCCCCTTCCTACAGAGAGGCTAGCATCATCAGCATGACACTGTTGGTCATCCGAAGGGAACACCTTATTGCCGTCACAGCACATCCAGGCACCAGTAGGCTTTCAACGTCAGCACCCCATCACAGTGCAGCAACCGACACCATAACGATGACTCGTTGCTGTCCTACCACTACCCAACTAAATTTCCTGGTACGGTACGACCTCAAAATAATAAGCGTTTCACCAGTACAGCTCGTTAAGTCATTGTGATATGCAAACCCGACCACCAGGTCGAAGTAGTAACTATTCAACAAACAGGGAAAAAGTTAATTTTGTAGAAAAATATCGCTTATAACAGCAACTGAATACAAGTAGGTATTAGTTAGTTCCAATACTAATGCAAAAATTTACCAATTGAATATAAGTTATTCAATCATTCTCTGATTCATACACTTTTCTATAGAAAAACTGTTAATATAAAGTAATAATATCGGTGTAAAGTTGAGAATATATACGCAGATTAGAATTAATGAACAGCACAAAAAAAAGTGTAACAAAATAGCAGAATTATCACAACTAGTGCACAAAAAAGTGAAAATAAATATAACACCACCTACTTTATCATTGATTATATAATATTGCGTTCGATAGCACACCAGCATTTCATATCCAATAAGGTGCTGACAATATCAGGAACTGCTATGCCTAGTTCCCGACTCATAGCTGTAAGAAGATATTGAATTATAAAAACAAAGGTTATACTACATACAAATGAAACAGTTCTTTGAGGATAAAAACCTAAATAATAAGTTTATTCAAATGATGTTTCATGGAGGGATAAATCGACTTGACAGTGGTTCTCATCAAGGATTGATATAAGTTAGAAAACCGCTAAAAAAGTAGAATTGGATCGATCTTTCTTTCTAGTTTGAGACTCCTCAGTAACACGCAGCCTACGACCAAGCTAAGGACAGCTCTTAGGATGAGCACAATCAGCTTGCACTAGTAAGTCTCAAACAAGACAAAAAACGGTTCAGTACTTCCAGGTTGCTAATCAATCTCCATCTAATGTCAACGCGTGAAGGAAACTAACTTAAATTCATTTTTTCTATCTCGTTTGTACGGTACATATACTACTTAGTTCTTCAGTTCTCAGAAACATATTCACCACTGAGAATGAACTAAAAAATATAGAAACTAGGTAGCTAGCAACTAGAAACTATTTACCAACAAATGTTACATAAAATACTCTTCGAAAGACCAGAAGAGTATATCGCACATCGCACTACTCTGTTCTTAACGACTCAAACGGGTATATTTTTCCCGTACCGTTATTCATCTTCACACTCATAACAGTGAGCATTGCGTACGTATTCGGAGGACGCTCAACATAATCAATAAGATAGAAACTACAAATGAGTAGTGTTTTAGCAGAGTAAGAAAAAATGCAAATAAACGAATAGCTTCGTACATAAGCGCCACATTCCATAGGAATAAAGAAAAGACGAAGTGAACAAATATAAAATGAGTGAAAAGGATCAAATGAACAGAAATCAACCGGGAACACAATAATGAAACAAACTCAAGTGAAGAAGTCAGAGATTCGAAATATACCTGTATCAGAAAGATACGCCGCAAACCATATTTCAGAAGTCTTCGATCAGCGATTTCGAAAAATATTCACTTGTTGTTTCGATATATTACATTCAAAACACAAATTCAAAACATCACGAGTATCAAAACTGAATCACTGCAAATAATGCAACAACATAAATCAGAACCCGTACAAAAAAAGCCTTAAAAATGTCATGAATAAGTGGTTCAAGACGTCGGACAATATTGATGCATAGTCGTACACAGCTTCGAAGCACCACAAAAATATTGATTACTGAATACATTCCTTCAACTCCTTTCACTTTCCATCTTCTTTTGTCCGTTTCATCCGTATTTGCTATTTCATAGTGATAACTTGAAGTGATACGACATCGTATGAAGCTCTAGGTTTCCATTTATTCCCCTGGGATTTTGCATCATTTCTTTTGAAAATATTCTTTCAAGTATTGGTATTAATTTTAATTAGTTGTCTCTCGTTTGAATCTGCGTTCTGTCTTTTAGGAGATGGATGCTAGAGAACACTTACTGTTGTGTGCTCGATTAGCTTCAAATTCAGGAACTGCACCTATTAATGGTAATTTTGAATTCCTACTTTAAGATATTCAGTTTAAGCATTCGCAGAGAATATCGAATTCGCTACGGAACAGCGCATACGTTCCGTGATATTCGGAACATGGGATTTACAACCATGGTGTCAGAGCAACTATCCAGCCGATTTGAGTTGTCTTCCTACTATATACGTCTGTGAATTTTGCCTAATGGGGATGCGCCATCAGACCGCATACGATCGACATAAAGTAAGCATTATCTTTTATCGATGTGCTGTCTTCATCAGGTAATTTCATTGTTCGCCTTAACCTGATCGATACGTGCTACCTTGATATATTGGTCAGTCTTGTATATCACAATGACCCAACATTTGATCGATTCACTCAGAACCTGTAATAAACTCTAGCTGCTGCATGCCTATCGTTTCATGAGCGTTTTGTTTGGCTTGAAAAGTATGTCAGTGACCAATATTGAAGACACAGTGAGGTCGTGAAGACTCAGTGTTTAGTGGTGGGACTTCCTTCAAAGCCACAAGCCGTTCGACTATCCATATCCATTACGTCTTTCGAGTGAAGTGGCGAATGCCCAACTATACTTTCTAGAGGATCGATATCTAGCCTCGAATCTAGCTCAGTTTTGTATTTGGCTACAGAACTAAGCGCATCCAGTTTGTTCACGTTGACACATTTAGGACGATGATTTCAGTGATCACCGAAATTCAAGATGAACTCAACATACAATAAAGCATGGTCAGAGTTGAGACTGATGCTTCGGAAGGTAGTAAGGTCTTGAATTTGCACCCAAGCCATCGGTAGATAGTTGCAGTATGATCTAATTGAGCCGAAGTCTGAGTGACAGAAGGAGGGAGACCTGGTAGAGCGACGGCAATGGCTGTATTGGGAAGTCGGTGCTGACTGGAAATAAGCTGTGATCTTCACAACGCCGCACAAACTGTTCTCAATTTCACCATCGAGTGACTTACTTCCATCAACAACCTTAACAACCCTCTTCTGTGCCAAGACGCCTAGCCTGTACCATCTACCGAGCACACTTGGTGATGGAGATCACTCCAGTTGTTAGTGGAACTCATTCTCAACTGCGTCTAGGCTGTAGTCAGTCAGGACACAGAGACAAATGACGAACAGACATCTTCACTGCCAGTCACTTGTTACTCCAATCGAACCTTCTAGTTTAGTGCTACATAGATAACTGACGATGAGAATCCAGTAGACTAGTAGAGCTGCACCTCTGGCAATTAGAAGGACATCAACACCAGCACACCTGGATGCCGATACTACATGACCTTCGAATAAGCGCTCTATGGGTACAAGTTTTGAGCTGAAAGATGGAGGATGTACTTGAAGCGCTTCCCTGGGATCGTCTCTCACACACACTCTCTCTCTCTCTCTCTCTCTCTCGGTCTCTCTCTCTCTCTCTCTCTCTGACATACAGCATACATGAATAACGAGGCTTCCGTAGAATCTTAGACAAACCTGTCTGTTGTCCGATCTGTACTAACATCCGAAGGTTGAAGGCGGCCAGCTTAAACGGTGTGCGTGGTTTCAAGAAGATCGTATCAGGCAGCACACTCAAGTACAGCTTTGTGAAAGGAACTATTTGGTGACTTGAAGTGTTGTAAACAGACCAGAAAAAGACAGTAAAGTTCAGATGTAAAAGTAACCACGACTGAATGACAATAAATTGGATTATCGAGTGCAAAGTTCATTCACACAAAGCGATGAAATTAAAAGCAAATAACGATTCCGTCCCCACGGCTCCTAAGAAGCTTCTTTTCATGAGCTTACAGTTCAACGCAGACACATTAGCAGATATATTAGGAAACTGTCTGACATGCTCATTGAGAAAGACGTTCTATGCTGCCAAACTCAGACCAACTTTCTCCACAAACCCGATGCTTCTATTATGTGCAAAGGATAAGCTAGCTCCCTTAGCCACCTCAATGTGTGTTAATCAATTCACCTACTCCTGTGGATTAAAGTA